ATAATAATAATAATAATAATAATAATAATTTAACTGATGATTTACAAAGAGGATCAATAAATGGGTAAAAGATAAAATAACAAAAACAAAAAAATTGATTATTTCAATTAAGTTTTTTTTTTTTAATAGAATTTCAACAAAAGGTGATGATACACAAAGTGAAAATACAATAAAAAGTAATGAAGAAGGTTTATTTGTTAAACGTCTTCGAAATCTTTTTCCAGCAATTGAAATTAAAGTTGAACATGTTAGTTGATTTTTCTTTGTAGAAATTTTATAAATATACGTTTTTTTTTTGTTTTGAAAGGGTCGAATATCAGCTGGACATGATACATTACCTTATGGTTTATTAATTCGTTTTAGTACAATGACAAGTACATTTACAAGTATATCACCATCAAGAAATCTTTCACAAATTGATTTAATGACACTTATTTATAATTTAAAATATCGAAATCTTCGTATTCAATTATATCCAATTCGAGTTTATAATGGTGAAACGCGAGAAATGTAAGAAATTTTTCTAGTGAAAAATTCTAAAAGAAATTTGTATTTTCGAAATATCAACTTTTTGTTTGTATTATTCTCTAGACTTTGAAAAGTGTCTATTATTGAAAAATTTATCAAGTCTACAAACTTTTCCTTTAAATGAAGAAAATATGATTTTTCCGAAAGCGGGGGAAGTAGAAAGTTAAAATACTATGTAGGATCTGTAAGCAAAAAATTAAACTTGCTTTTCGTCGAAATTCGATTATCAGAAATTGTCACAAGGCATTTTTTTTTCGCTCGTTACGATGGCTCATAGAAAATTTTTCGCTCTATTCTGTTTACAAGGTAGAATACCCTCAAGGCATGTAAATTTAAATCGATTATGAAATTTGTTGGTAACAAAGCGAAAAAAATTTTTGTCATGTTTATATTTCACTGCTCATATATCTTTTTTTTTTAATATAATTTCAAAAAGAATATTATCCATATATAAGAAATCGATTGAAATTGTACGATTTTTTTATTCAGAATTTTTCCTAGTCATCTTTTTTTTATTGTTGCATTTAGGAAACGATTTCAAATGACTTTTTTATCAAAAAAAAGTGTTAGCATAGCTGTCCTGATGACGCTATATACATATGATAGAATATTCAGGAAGAGTGAACGTTAGAAATGATCACCGAAACGAAATTCATCAACAATTGTTAAAATTTCAGTTGTCGCCATCGTGATACTTTCGACACTCAGGATCATTTTTCGGGCATGCTCTCCTTATAAAAAAAGGGTGGATGTGAGTGTGAAATATATAATTTCGTGTTTGATAATTTAAATTAATTTTTTTTTGTGTCGGATAGATAATCTAATAAAAAGATAAATATTTATTCTTAATTTAAGTTTGTATTATTTTTGAGTGTGAAGAAAAAAAGAATAATTACTTATTATACTAAAAAAAAACAACATATCTAATGGTTTATTGATTTCTTTAAAGGATCCTTCCTTGCTGAAGTTTCTCGAAGATAGCTTGGCGAACATTTTTGCAAATATTCAGGATGGATAGATTTCGATGAGTAGAATAAAAGTTGTCATAGACTCGAAATTCCCAAATGCTTCCTTCTGGAAGATCAAGGATCAAAAATGACTTGACGTTTTCTCCTCCGCAAACATTCATACTACGTTATTTAGGACTGAGATTTTTTCTATGACAACTAGGAACAAATCTGGACATGTGTGTATTTTGTTTTTCTTTGAAAAATATTGTTCCTGTACCTCAGGAGAAGCAAAACAAGCTTTTTTCGAATTGTGCTAATTTTGTGAAATGTTCCAAACTTGATAGATACAACGTTTTCAAGAGAAAAAAAACAACATGCACCCCAATTTGATCGAAGTAGTTGTCAAGAAAAGGGAACTTTGCTTAAACATAACTAAAAAGAATTCTTTACGATTACATTTTAAAATATCAAGATTCAATGCATAATAAACTTGTTTATTTCATTAAAGTTTTCATACATTCATTTCGTTCTTTAGACCACCACCTATCCCAACATCAAAGCCAGCTGATAGTGGTATATTTCAAGTATTTGAATGTCTTGATGGTGAAATTGAATATGAACAAGATGTACCAGGTAAAATGATTGAACAATTAGATAATAGTGAACCATTACCTGATTTAACATGGGAATTTCGTGTTAAATGTCATAAAGATGCTAAAATAGCATATGGACCATGGGCTGATAGACAAAGGTATAATGAATAAAAAAAAAAAAAAAGATTATAATATATTGAAATATATGAATTTTTAATTTCTATAGAGAAGCATTATGGCAATATTTTTTTCCAACATTATTTGAAGATTGTCCTGTAACACCTGAACCATCCGTAGGACAAACACGAATATTTAAAAATGTACGTTTTAAATTATGGCTTTATTGTCCAACTATAATAGATATTTATTTTATGTCTAAAATGGTTTGTTTTCATTCTAATAAAAAAAAAAAAAAAAAAAAAGTTTCTTTCATCATAGAAACTTCATCAAATACATGCTGAATTACCAAATCAAGGTTCATATTTTGATGCAACATTTCCATTTTCAACAAATCCAGATGGTTTTGATACAAATATATCTATAAATATTAAACAACCAATTATTCGTACTAATCTTCAATTTACACAATTATTTAAAGCTGATGAAATCGATGTAAGAAAATTTATTCTTATAATGAAATTATAAAAGAAATTGATTTTGAAAGATCTTGACTTTCCGAAGTTCATATATAGTGTATATTGAATAAAATGAATTTCTTTTGGTATATTTAAGATCAATCTTCATATACATTATCCTCGTTTATGGAATTCTATTCAAATATGGACTCTTGGTATTATCACAAAAAAACCTCAAGTTTATTTTGTATTTGAACATAAATGTTTTTTTCAATGTAAATTTAATAAATTCTTTTTGTTTTTATTATTTATAAAATGAAAATATTTAATTTTTTTTTTTTTATAGCTTTAATCAATGATTGGTCTTCACCTGTACCACCTGATATTTATTCATTTGCACCATTTATTTATGATATAAGTTTACAAGGTAATCATGTAGAATTTTTAATACCATGCAATCAAGGAAATTGGATTGATTGTCCAAATGAAAATAATCGACAAAAACAACAACAACAACAACAGCAACAACCAGCGGAAAATAGTAAATAGATATATTTTATTTGATATTAGAAAATATTGGCTTTTTTTTCTTTAAAGATTTTATCTCAATTTGTGCGAAATCAGTTTCATTGACATATCCATTACCATTTTTGGAATTTTGTCCAAAAGTTACACCAATGGATATAACAATTGATGTTTGTATTAATTTGAATGAAAAAAAAAAAAGAAATAATTTTCATTTATATTTTAGGTTCAAGATCTTCTTGCTCGTCTTGTTATACCAGAAAATAATCGAATGTTTTATATTTTAGAAGGAGTTGATTCTCATAAACGTTTTTATACACCAAATGGAATTAAATCTCAATTGACTTTGTCAGATGAATTTGAGAAACGGTAAATATTAGAAAATCTATCTTA